GCAGAGTTCTGGACTCTGACTTGTCTAATACCTAAACCCCCATGCTTCTTACTTTTACAGACCTGCTACCAATTTACAATATGGACTTTCCTCCTGGAAACACACCATATTTTGTCTCAAGAAACGCCATTAATTAGTTTATTTTTTATTACATTTTTAACTTTAGGTAAAATGACTATAAAGGACAAGCTATGATACACACTATTTGTATAACTACCATAAAGGACAATAATAAATACAATATACATCAACAATCTCAAATGTGTTACTTACGTATCTTGTCTCTCAATAATCTAAAAACCCTAACACAAAAACTAAAAACCTTTAAAGAAATAACCAAAAATATACGTATTATTTAAGATTTTGATTGGATATTCATTTGGCAATACTCATTCGGAACAATGGAGCAAGGAAAGGGTTTTTTTTTTTCGTTTTGGTTTATTTGCTAAGTAGTAAACCATTTGTATTAGTTCGGTTATCTAGAGTCGAATAATAAATTTATGTTCGACTGCCTACAACCGAACAAATTGTACATGTTCGGTTTCATAGTGTCAAACTTTCTCCAAATATTCGGTTTTTAAGTATCAAACAAACACTATTCGTTGGTTAAAAACAATCAAACAACTGCACTTAGTTCGATTCTGTACTACCACTAAATGAAGTTTTGGTGCTCTCGATAATCATGGATTGTTGCAATGCCCTAACTACACCTCTAGATCCATCCAATTTTTCTTCTCAACAGTACAATCCAAACTCCTTGTTAGAAAATTCACTTCCCATGATCTCCCAGGCCACCGAGGCTGATCATTAGGCTTCGAATTCTTCGCCTGATTCCTCACCGACATCGCTTTCCTCATCTCTGTCAGATTCCTCACCGGAGTGAGGGTAAAGATGGAAGATTGTGGGTAGATTGTGGGTGTGGTGTGTGAGAAAGGGTAAAGATGGAAGATTGTGGTGTGTATTGAGCAAAATATTTATCTATCAAAATAATTAAATGTGTGCCTTGAGTAATGGTTTGCCTTGAGATAAAATGTGGTGTATAAATAGAGACACCCCTCTATTTCTTTGGTCCTTCTCTATCCAAAATTACATTTTACCTATTTTTCTTTTCATCCCTACCATAATTCCAACTTTATCAATCTTCCACTCATTCCCTTCCCTCTTTTTTCAAGCAGACCCCTTCCTCGCCAGCTGCCAGTCCAACCACCCCCTCAGCCGATTTTTCTTTTTCACCTGTAAAACCCTAACCCAGCCTCATTCTCCGTCGCTACTATCTACCATAGTTATCACCCATCCCGTCGCGAACTCCCTCATCAATCGTGAACCCAAAACCCAACCTTCTTCTTATTCTTCTCGTTGTGAAACCCTCCACAAGTGCGAAATCCAATCCCTTTCCCTCCTCTCCCTTTACGTCGCATCGCTCTCTCTCTCTCTCTCTTGAGCGCGCGCGCGCGCGGGTGCTCGATCTTTCTGTCTCACTAGGGTTTGGCGACTAAGGTTTCACAAAGAACTTGCGAAAAAGATATGCGACTAGTGGTGAGGGTGAAGAAAGGTGTGGTCGATGGTGGTGGTTGTGGGCGGTGATAAAATTAGGGTTAGTGTTTCGAGAGAAGATGAGAAGAAGATGAGAAAGAAAGAAGAATGAGAAGAGGAAGAATAAAAAGGTGTGACCGATGGTGGTGATGGCAATGCCGCGGTGGTGGAAAGAATAAGGAGGAGGAAGAGAGAGAGTGATGCAATGATGACGGTGGTTGGGGGGTGATGGCGATGTTACAACAATGGCAGTAGTTAAATAACCGACGGTGGTAGCGAGGAAGGTGGATGTGATGGAATTAGGGTTAAGGTTTGGAAAATTAAGATTAGAGGTAGGAGTGTAAATCTGGCCAAGCCTGGCCCATCCCATGTTGGGCCTCTTGGGCTCCTGCCAAAATTAGGGCTAGCCTGGGCCAAAAAATTAGGCCCAGTCCGAGCCCTAGGCCAAAGGTTATTTAGGCATTGAGCGAGCCGGTGGGCCTTGGCTTGGCCTCAGGCTTGGGCCGAGCTTGGGCAGGTTTGACCATTTTTTTTGGTTTTTTTTACTTTTTTCTACTAAAATTATATTATTTTTCATTAAAAAAGGCATTGGGCCTCGGGCAGGACCGGACCTCAAAATGATGGCCATGGCCCAAGCCCAGGCCCAAGTGCTTGGGCTAGGCTTGGCCCCAAACGAGCCTAAACGGGTTGAGCCCACCAAGGGCGACGGGCGGGCTTCGGGCCACCCACGAACCGCGGGCCATTTTTACACTCCTAGTTAGAGGGTTAAAGATAAGGGTAGAAATAAAATTTTATCTTTGGATAAAATTGGAATTAAAAAAAATGAAAAAGAGGGAGTCGAAAGAATTAAGGTATATGTAATTAGCAACCCCTAATATTTTACATCGAAACAAACAGAACTTTAATGAAAAAGACTAAAATATCCTTATATATAAGTAATCTAAATGTATGAAATATGGCATATTTTTGCCATTTGTCTGTGATGAAAGATGCATTTTACCCATGTATTTTATTCCATGTGCAATTTATCTCATTAAAATTTGAAAATGAACATGTTACCCATTTAAATCTGGCATATGTTTTACTCTTGCTATTAAAGAAAATCTAATAGTACACTTCAGTTCATAACCATAAGGGTTATACGGTTATTTCTAAATACATTGGGATAATCTGCATATGGGCAAAAGTACAAATGATAAAGTGAAATTTGTCTTCTTTTTTTTTTTATTATAGATGATGTGCACTAACAGCCATACAAAATGAACGATTTGAATAATTAAAACAAGACTCTTAATGAATTCCATAGATTACTCGAATTCTGTCAAACTTATATTTGAATTTAAAAGAAACTTATTCCTCATCGTGGTTAATTTAGGATTGTTTTGGAAAGGGACTTGTAAACAGGCTTTTTAATTTATTACAAAAATATATATATATATATATGTAAAAAATAAAAAAATCATATAACTAAAATAAGTCAATAGATTGAATCGTAAACTTTATTCTCAAGCAAAGCCGGTGGTCAAAAGTAATTTCTCTTCTTTTATTCCAAGCCGCGCTAACCAAATATTGTAAAAGTGCCGTGGCAGCATTTATAATTAATTTTATATTCTAAATATGTTATAGTTCATCTATATCCTAATTAGTGTATATCATTTGTTTCATTGAAATAAAATAATATGAAATTAAATGATTATTCTTTGAGTTAATTACTTAAAAATCTTATTTATAAATGTTAGGGTAGTCTAGGTCTTATCTAAGATTTTTGGAACCAATAAGTCTCATTTAGAAAAATTAAAAATATTATCATTTTTTTCCAATTTTAAAAACTAAGAACATTATCAATTTTGCATAATAATGTCCCAAATAATTATTTCCCTAATTGATAATAAAAAAAAACATGAGATTAAACGTTTTTACCCTTCTACTTATTGGTTTGATTCAACTATCCAATAAAATAAATAACATTATCAATTTTTTTTCATTTTTTTCATTTTTTTTCTTCAGTTTTGCACATCAACATTTCACTATCTTGCGCCTTTTATAGACACAAAATTTTTAGTTTTGCACAAAAAAATAATTCAATTTTTTCAAAAAAAAAATTAGTTTTTTTTTTTTTTTGCATATAATTTTTTTTTTCAATTTGAAAATTAATATTTTAAAGTTTTAAAAATTAAAAAAAATGTCAAATCATCATTTTTTTTTTATAAATAATCATAAATGATGAACAATTATGGTTTGAAGGGCAATTATGACTATTAAAATTTTAATGGGACTTGAAGGTCTAAAAAGTCTTAGTTAGGACTTAATGAAGTATAAATTCATAGAATAACCATCCGATTACAATAATAGTAAATAATGATTGGGTGATTCTATTTACACACCACTAATATTCTCAGTGTACACTATTATTTAGTACATACATAAAATAATTTTTAGGGTTTAAAAATATCTTATTTCACACCTTAACTTTCCATTATTAACCCTATATTAACACACCACTAATTATTTGAATATTTACTATTACACACACTAAAAATTCTTCATCTTCACTACTACATACAATAAAAACCCCCACAATCTTCAAAATAGAGACCATCTTCGTCGGTCCTGATCTCCATCGCCGGCGGAGGTTTTATTCGGCTTCCATTTTCGCTGGTGTTGATCTCCATAACTCTCGTCGTGTCTCATCTCATTATCTCGTCATTTCAAATTGCAGACGGAGTGTTTCATTCGGCTCCATCTTTGTCGATTTTGACCTTCATTGTGTTGAACTATCATCTTTCATTGTCATTTCATATTACCATTCCAATCCTTGATTCATGAGTGTATTTTAATGATAAAGATGATGAAACACGAGTGTACCTCCTTAGTAACAAATTCACTTTTGTAGTCAACAATACAATTAGTTTTAACATTGCTACATTGGGTGTGTATAGAATTCCGAAAGAAATTTAAAGAATTCATCAAATTAGTCATATTCCAGAATATAGAGTTGAACAAAATTAATGTGTTCAAAAATTTATATTTGAACAACGAATAAAATTTTAATTTATTTTAATCGAGCAAACTTAAAATGTTCAATTTTATATGTATGAGCATTTAATATGTGATCAATCTTAATACACTACAAGAAATTGCACTTTTGGCGACTCAGATTTTAGTCGCCGAAAAATTTTTCCGACTAAATAGTTTGATTGCCAGCTTGGTTGTGAGAAGATTGTCGGGGAAAGTATTGGCGACAAAAAAATATTTAGTCTCCGAAAGTCCTAAATTGGTGACTAAACAATTAGTCACCAATAGGAAAGGTATTGGCGACTAATTTTTTTTCGTCGTCGAAAGTGGGCCAATTGGGGACTAAAAATTTAGTCGCCCAAAATTTTTAATAAATATGTTTTTTTGTTTTAACGACTAAAATATTTAGTCGCTAAAAATGTGGCACTCCTTTTTGGCTATCTATTTTTTAGTCGCCAAAAACTTTCATTTTTTTTGACTACTAACTATTTAGTCGCCAACAAGTTCCCTATTTATTTTTTGACTACTAAATATTTAGTCGCTAAAAGCTCTATTTATTAAATTTTTAAAAATGCATAAATTGAATATTTTTCATTAATTTCTAAATTATATGCATTATCCATTATCAATGCAACCTGTAACCTGTACATATACAGAATAATATATCTATCAATTATCATCTAAATCCATTATCAATAATTGTCACGCCCCTAACTCGCCCATAAAAGTTTGGGCATGACTGATAGGAGTGAGAATGGTCCGGATTGGTCCGGATTGAAAGAAAACTAAGACCAATCCGTTATCTACGGTTCCTGAAAAATTAAAACCAATCCAATCCGTTTAAATTGTGGAACCAATCCGAACCAATCCATTGAAACACGGATTGAATCGGTTTAGGATCACGGATTTAAATAATTAATACATATATACACAAGTCAATTCATTTATCAATTCAAACAATACCCGAGACTGAAATTCAAACAAGATCTTAGTAACACCCAAGACTGATATTCAAAGCCAAATTGCAAAACTGAAATGCAAAATTGATTATTGAAATTCATTTATCTTAGTACTTCAAAACTCTTGCTCTCCTAATAGTACGAAAATTCCACAAAATTGATTATAAATTTTAGAATGCTATGATTCTTGGAACTCAAAACTCAACACCAAGAACAAGCCCACAAATCCAAATCCTAGAATTAGCTGGAATAAAGAAAATATTTCCAAAACCCAGAACCCAGAAGTGTCAGTTTAGGATTATCAAAACTTAAAACACAGCTTAAGAATCAAACAACTACATGAACCCAGAGACCCAGCTTGAGCTGAAGTACACATAAAATTGCAAAATTGCCAATAGAACCTTAAACCCAGAAAAAGCAAAAACCCATAAACCAAAAGCAAGAAATCCATGAACAGTTACATCAAGAAAAGAACATATTCCAATAAAGCTCTCAACTTTTTCTCAAGAAAAAACACCATCACCACCCAAAACAGAGGAAAGAAGAAAATAGAAGGATAAAAATAGAAAACATAAAAAATAAAAATAAATTCTCTTACTTACATTTACCGAATCCATTGTAGATGACATGAAAGAGAGAGAGGAGGAGCACACCGATGGATGATCTGGGAACAAAGGAACAAAAATAGTGTCACCGAGAGAGAGAGAGAGAAAGAGACACCTCACCCAGAGAGAGAGACGGGCAGCACATCAATCTGATCTGAGATGGATGAGAGTGTGAGATGAGAAAGAGAAGAGAGAGAGAGACACCATCGACAGAGAGATAGATGAGATGAGAGTGAGAGACAATGAACTGAATAAGGCGTGAATGAGTGAGGCGTGAATTAGGTTACATTTTAGTTTTTATAGGAGACAAGAAATTATATTGTGTGGGAAGGTACATAGTATAAATATAGATTATTTCTAGATGGTCCGGATTGGTTCCAATCCAGAACCGTGGGGTTCAATCCGGAACCGATCTGTGGCCTACGAATTTTGAAATTTTCAATCCGAAACCAAACCACGGATTCAAAAAACCAATCCAAACCTATCGGATTGGACTAGATCGGATCAGATTATGGATTTACGGATTCCTTGCTCAGCCCTAATGACTGACCCGCAATGAGTCCCAAAACTAGACAATCATATAGCATGAATACCGTATATGGTACGGGGCCTGAACGGAAGCAATTATTAATCTAAAATGTCATCCATCGAGCCAGTGTTTAATTGCCAGGATCACAAAACAATTCATCACAATACCCAACGCATAATGAAACATGTACATGGGTGGCAACTATATACATGTTAATATATACAACCCAACCCCATTACTGAGGGTATAACTAAAACATCCAAGGGTGGAAGTTATACATGATTATCGACAATTGACAAAAGAGCTAGTGACCAACACTATGAGCCATGAAAGAAAGTCTACAAAAATGAATAAACTTCATTGAATTGATCGGACACCGCGGGTTGACAAAAATAGCTGCTATGCTAGACTAAGACTGATCTCCGGACTGATTACCTACATTGACATACATAACACAGAGTGAGCGAGACTCAGTGAATAATAGTAAGTGTGTAATTCAAGTGAATAAACATAACTCGCACCGTATGTAAGTACATTATTCACGTGTTTGTTCTTGTTTTGTATTTATTTTCAAAATGGCATTGGGCCTAATAGTATACAAAATGGCCTCAGGCCCATTATCATACAGAACAGCCTTAGGCCCAATATTATACCGAACAGCCTCAGACCCACATATCAACAGCTGTTTGAACATTGGAGGGTAGGTAGAACATCGACATGCACACCACCTCCCTCGACCTTAGGCCATAAGTCATAATCAATTCAAATCATGTTAGGGTCGATGAGACATCGGCATGTCATCACCTCCCTCAGCCTTAGGCTGTCATCAAGATGTAACTTATATCTGAACGGCCTCAGGCCCAACAACGACAAAACAGAATGACCTCAGGTCCATAAGTATACCATTGCTCAATATCACACATGAGTTTTTCAATTGTTCATTATACGAAGACATAGCTCATTCACGAATAACAGTATGCTAACGATAACTATTAGTAGCAAATAAACATATCACTACAGTACTATTACTCACAGTGCTGTGGCGGAGTGATAGTCCCTTCTTGTAGGTGACCTACACACACATACAATTCATACATTAGTCCCTTTTCCTTTTTAAGCAATATCCGATTCGTTTAACATTCATTTAATTACAAGCATTTCAGAGGCTTCAAATACACATTTTAGCAATCCCAGAGGGTCAAACAGAAGAAAAGAAATACACAGAATATTTCCCCTTGGGCCGCACGTGCGGAAGCCCCTCACCATACGTGCGGGAAGGTGGGCCGCACGTGCGCCCCGCACGTGCATATATTTCAGTACCTTAACTTCAAATTCCCCTGTTTTCAGTACGTGCGGCTGTGAGCCCAGCACGTGCGGTGGTGCTTCCTACACGTGCAGCCGTGAACCCCGCACGTGCGGTCGTAGCCCGTGTTTTGTGCAGTCCGATTCAAAGCAAACATCCAACAAAACAACCATATCACAAAGAAAGGGAATGGGGAAATCAACTCAAGATTATAACATAACATCACCATAATATGAATCACAAGTTGTAATACCACAATAGCATGAATTACAAGCTTGATTAAACTATAACCCTTTTTCTTGTGGTTATTTTTTATGTATGAAAGATATGTATATATATATATATAACCATCTAACTATATAAATGAGTTCAAACATGTAAACTAAAGAATAAATTGTAATTCCCCTCCTTATAGCTCAACATAACCCCAATCAACTAAACACAAAAGGTATTCTTCCAATGAATCAATTACCACACACTTGGTCTTCATGATAAACCCTAACTTACATAATGTAGAGATGTTCTTACTCAAGTCTAAGAGAGGGTTATTCAAAGTGAGTTATATCTACCATAAGCTCAAATCTCTACAAATCTTCTCAATTCTTCAATCCTCTTCCTTGTTGAAGCCTTCTCTCCTTTCTCTCCCTTTCTATACTCTCTCCTTCTCTCAAGAGATATTTCTATGTGATAGAAGTAGCTAAGTTAAGAATTTAAAAGGGTCATCTTAAAGTTGACCCCAAATTAATCAATTTAATTATTCCAAATCAAATTTTTACAAAAATTCATATCATAATCCAAAAATCATGCTTATCACAATTATAAAGTCAATTTCGGGTTATCAAGCTTCTAAGGCTTTCAATTACTGATCCAAACATCACAATGGTAATAGATTTTTCTCATAATTGACAGATATAAACCCATAATCATATAATTCACACAATTAGACTTAATTCCACACGGAATTTCACATTAACCATATAAGTGCACATAATAAGAGACTGAAAGCATACCAGAAAGCATATAAGAGGGTTGGGTTATTATAATAATACTCATTTCATTATCAACTATCCAAAAACTTTAACTTGTAACTTCATATTCCAAATATCATATAAATCCACACAAACTAGGTATAATCCATCTAAATTAAGTATTACATACAAAAACACTAGATTTCCAAAATAGAGGGTTGTAGAAAAATAAATGTCTTCTATATACAGAACAAATGCTCTTCATACACAAAAATAAATATCCACAATAGCCCACTTAAAAGCAATCTGGAAAATAATAATAATAATAATAATAAATAAATAAAAATTAACTATTAGCACTTATTCAATAAAATTGACATTTCAAATTATAAACAATTATAAAAAGAAAACTGAATTAGAATACCTTTAATGAGTTTTTTTTTTTTTGATCAGCAAAAGAAAACTTTATTGATGAACCACATATAAAAACATATGATAGACAACATCAATAAAGAGGAGCTTGAAGCTATAATGAGCTCCAACCTCCTACTTGGTGAGAGACCAACACAACACAAAAAACAAACAACTGAATAAACACCCATCCAGCACAAAAACAAACAACTGAGAAGCAGCTCCAGCTCTAACTAATAGAACAGATAATAGGCAGATAAATAGCAGAATCCCCTTTCAGATGTTACCAATTTCACAGGAGCAGAGCAAAACCAGGGCAGAGCAAAGCCAACACTGGACAGCCACCAGCAGCAAAGCAAAACAGATGAGAAATTCACCCCATAGAAAATCAGCCCATAGAGCTTCCAAGTTCTGTTAGAACAGTGCAGACATCCATTTTTCTGAGTCATGTACTCGTAATGCTGAATCCAAAATTCACAAGAAGATGATCCCAAAAAATCTGTTCAATCCTAGAAACCACAAAATGCAGAGATGTACAAAGCTTCACTGAACGCAGATAGTGTTATTATTTGTCTTTGGTGAAGAGGCAAAGCAAAATGTTATTAGCTTAGCATCTGTGCAGTCATGAAGTAGTTCCGATTCCCGATCATTAGCTGTTGACCACTCTTTAAAGATTGTTTCATTTGTATGAGATGGGAACTAAGGCTATATTCCTCTACCTGCATAGCTGCTGTTGAAGCCAATAAAGAGGAGATGGTGCACTGAAAAAGGAGATAACATAATAAGTTTTCACTCGGCAGCAAAATTAGGTTAGGTAAAGCATAGTAGAGAAATAGTTTAAGAAAGTATTCATCAGCCTCCAAAGAATGAAATAAAATAATCAAGAAATGAATTAATTTGTAATTCTCTAAGATATGGAAGAAGTGAGTCTTCTTATTAAGCCTCTGCACATGAAAATCAATAGTTTAATAACAACTCTACAAATAAAACTCACATACAGAAGAACATTATAATTACGAAGTGTGTGAGATCCATGCATGAAGAAGCCAATAGTAGAAAGCCTTTGCTTCTAAGACAACACTAACTATACATCAAACAGCAAGTTCTATCTATTGCCCTATAGGGGGGAAAAAAAATTCCAAAAAATTGAAAACAAAAAATATTGCCAAGGCCATATAATTATTAACAAAACCTTAGACATCAATCATCATCACACCACTCACAGTTGTAGTATATATAACATTAGCAATAGAGAATTTATCACCAAAAATGATAAACACCCAAGTCGCTTGAGAGTTTAAAAAGATAAGACAAAGCAAAGCTTCACAAGTTGTCTACCTAAGATAAACACCCAAGTCGCCCTGTTTTTGTGCCTTTTGAATCCTGTTAATTCATTCTTGCCAGATTTAACATATAAGGGCATTCAACCAATTTTCTTAATGTGAATGTAGTTAATTTCCCCTTCAAGTAATTTGTAACTTGAGCAATTTTCACATCCCAACTCAATCTATTTCTGTTCAAAAAGTACCCAAGACTTTTTCCCCACATGCCAAAAGTTTACAAAATCTGATTTGTTACTTTGTGTTTTTCTTAACAATCACCAAGGCTGGGCAACAATCTGATTATTCTGGTAATAATAATATGACAAAATAAGAAATAATTAGGTTCCAATTCAAAAGGCAAGGAACCACTATTATTGAGCAATAAAGGTAACAGCTAAATTAGTTAACCTCAAGAAACAAAAGCAGTAGCAATCTGAATAGTAACATCTCAAATACTATATAACATAAGGTCATATCTCTATAACCACTAGACATGATGAAGATCGTTGTTTTGATCCATATTGTCAATTAATATTGCAATTCCTATCAAAAAATTATAAAACTAATAATAGTCCTATCTTGCATCACTAGTTGCTAATGAATCCGACAAATAGACCACAAATATTCTTCTGCAAAATCACTAAAAATCTCATTGAATGTTAATCATCATTCATGATGTGTTCCATTTATTATTTTCTTTACATCACCTTTTGCTAAACTAATATAAAAAACATAAATCCAAATACTGAATAAAATTTCATCTATTAACATAACCATGCCACCAAGGACCACACACTTTACAAAAATCATGAAAATCAATTTCATATTCAAATATGGCTTCATTAACCACTAAAGGATCACATGTATAAACTTTGTGCTCAAAGAGTAAATCTCGGGAAAACAAATTTTTAAACACATTAAACAATTCATAATGAATGCATTTATATGTAACAAAAAACATACCTGTAACTTGCAGAAGTTGGTGAGAATTTTGTTGGAAGTAGTCATTTGGATCAGATTTGACTTTCACAAAACTTCACAACACTTTACTTTCAAAAGTTTCAGGGTCTGTCAAAAGATCCTGAACTAAACTCCTTCTCAAATACACAAGCTTTATATTTGCAGAAATTATGGCTGCAAAACAACTATTAGTGATGAGCTAACTCAAAATGCAATGAATGCATATTGAGGGAAGGTGCATTTTGTTGTAGTGAGTCCAAGATGATATGAATTACAATATATTGTTGCTCGGTAGAAGTGGCTTAATTATGGGTGAGCTACTATTCATCTTTCAAGTGGGTTGCCCAACTAATCTGCTCTTCAATGGTGCACTATTCTTCATGTTAAAGTCAAAATTTGATAGCGGTTCTTCAAAATGACACAACCCACAAATTGACATTTATATTTGATTTTTTCTGAATAAAATTGAGATAATGATATTTTGCCATTTAATAAGTAACATGTCAAAATTTTGCTTCGATATTGTCACTAATTTAACTTCCAAATAACCCATTGAGGGATATGCTGTTGGAAATTAAAGATTCAATCTTTTTTAATTTTAAGTTATAAGGTTACTAACTCTGCTATTCTGATGTTGCTCCATCTTGCTATGCTTGTTTGGATACCTTCTTGTATTTGCCATGAAAGAATGGATCAGGCTGCTGTAAAATGTGTGTTCTGTAAGTCAAATGAGGAAACAACCAAGCATTTGTTACTTCATTGTGATCTTGCTTGGAGAGTTTGGTCGAAGCGTATAAATAACTATTCCAACTTGGTGAAAATCCTTTGGGGATGCAATTTTGTACGCGGTGTTGTGGACGTTATGGAAAATCAGGAAATGAAGTAGTATGCTTGAAATTCTTAAACTTAGACCTGCAATGTGGTCCAATCCAATCCAAGGCTTACTATTGATGTCAAAGATTACACAATCTCCGATTTTCTGAGATGCCTGGATGGAATTACAAGTCGAAAGATTTGGGCAACTCCCAAAGAGAAGGATTTTAACAGGAATCCATAATCTCAATCATTTCTAATTAAATTATATCTCATAATCTCAATTACACTATATTAAATTATACTAATGTGAATTAGGCTCTAATTCCTATCCAATGATTTAATTCTAACTTGTTAAAATTAGTGAATCAGACAGGTTTAATTTTCATTCTAACCTATCTATTCACACAATACAAGTCAATAAATCTCATAACAATCGATAACACTTAATCACATAATTAAATCACATAATTAACATAATTAATAGCTCCAATTAAGGCTCAACAAAAGCAGATTCTTCAAACCTACTTGAGTAATACACCATTGATAGGTTAAACAAGTGCATTGTAAAGTAATTTAAAGCAAAGGAACAATTCAAACTAACACAATTATCCCCAATTCTGGGTTTTTACACATATTCTACACATCAAAGAAGTCATTCCAAAGACGTCCAAATGGAAAAGCCATAACAACTTCCCAAACCAACAATTCATTGCGGGCTAAAGAAACAGAGTGAACTCAAAGTAGAAGAAGAGAAATAGAAAACCAAAAAAATTGATGGAACCCATTAATGGGTTAGGCTTGTGGCTTAGAATTTTGAGAAGCCTAAGAGACATTTTATCAAACAGTTTGAAGGCAAGGAAAAAAAACAAACAAACAAACAAACAAACAAACAAATCCTCTGTTATTAAGTTGGGGCTTTTAAAAAAATGTACATATTCAGTAAAAAAAAAATGGTTTGAAATCACCTTATGATCGTCCAAGAAGACTGAGATGTGAGATCTTTTAATCGAGTTCGCCACATCAAGATCGTCTGAGATGTGAGTAAAGAAGATCAGGATTGGAGAGTGGATTCTCATGATCTCGATCCTCATCTGATTGTTTGAGATAGAGTGAGGGTGAGAGTGAAAGATCAATCGATTGAGAATGAGAACAAGAACATGACAGCAAAAGCATGAGAATGCGGCTGAGAGAGAGGGAGAGTTGACTGTTGGTGACAAAGTTCAGAAATCGTGAGAGTTGAGAAGAAAAGACATTGTGAATTTGTTAGAGATTGCAGATTGATGAAGGGCATGTGGAGAAGAGATGGACGGTTGCACCCAAAAAAATTTCAGACACAGAGGGAGAGGGTGAGAGCGGGAGATATTTTTATAGAATGGTTATTGGTGACTAAAAGTTTTTAGTCGCTGAATGTATTTTATAAATACCATCAAAATATTTGAAATGTCTCCATTCAAAAATTTTAGTTCTTTGACAACTAATTTTTTTTTTTGTCGTTAAAAATAAACTTTTGGTAATCAAAATTTTGATTGCCAAAGTAAAAAATAATTTTTTATTTTCTATTCGGCGACTAAATGGTTTTAGTAGTCAAAACTCAACATAAGGAGACTAAAATTCTTTTTTGTCACTAAAAATAAACTTTTGGAGACCAAAATTTTGGTCGCCAAAAGTAAAAAATAATTTTTTATTTTTTATTTCGGCGACTAAATGGTTTTAGTAGCCAAAACTCAATATATGGCGACTAAAATTCTTTCTTGTGGCCAATTTTGACATTTTTTGTGACTAATTTTTTTTTTGGTTGCCAATAACCAATATACCTCGACCAAAAAAATTAGTAGCTAAATATTTTACTTTTGTCAACTAAAAAATCTTTTTGTTGCCAATTGCACAAGTTTTGGTGACTAAATTTTTTTGGTCGCCAGTTTTGGTCGCCGAATATGCATTTTGTTGTAGTGATAATTTGAAGAAAATTGTTTTGTTCAAATATAAATAATCGAACATTGTGTAAAAGTTCAACTCTCATTATCCAAACACAACGAATAAACTCATATACCTAGCATACGAATGAGATAAATAAAAAATTAAAAAGCTAAGTCATAAATTAACTTTTTGAATGTTCAAATTAACGTTTTCTTTGTTTAAACGATCTCAGTGTCATCTATGGTGTTCAAATCTTCAAAATTAATTGATTTCAATATTCTTAAATCATAAATCTTCAAAGATAATAATGTTTTGAGTTTGATAAATAAGTATAATGGAGAAAAAAAAATATACGGTTTTTTTTTTTTCTTCAGGAAAATCCTTCCTACCCTCCCGCAGGTCCAAGACAGCGCCATTGCAGAGATCACCAAGGTGTCCTGTTAGCCGTTCCGAGCGAAAAACCCCTAAACCCTATAAGGATGATGGCGTATGAAAAGCATTTTGTGTTTTTAAATACAAAATTTTTGAATGGGTAGAATACACCCCATGTTGTCCTTAATGGTCATTTCATTAAAGGATATTATTGGAATATGAATTTTAATCTACTAATAATATGTACCGAAAGTATTAATGGTGTATAAATAGAATCACCCATAATGATTTCATTTGTAATATATTTTTATCAATTTTCTAATGAACCAAACATGAAAATAGACATTATATCGAAATAACCATTCCCTTCTAATTAGGTGCCTCTATTTATACACCACATTTCATCTCAAGACACACCACTACTCAATGCACACCTCAAGTAATTTGATAAACAAGAAATTTGCTCAATACATACCACAATCTTCCATCTTTACCATTATTCACACACCCCATCCACAATCTTTCATCTTTACCCTTACTCACTCACACACCCCATTCACAATCTTTAATCTTTCATATTCTATACCTCCACTTAAAAAAAACATATAACGTCCTCCTCCATTCTCTGTTTCATTGTCATCCCAGAGGTTTAGGAACCAGTCTAAACCGATCTCCATTCGTGCTGAAGACGACTTCACTCCATTCTCCTCTGGTTCACGCCTCCCTCCATGGATGCACAGTTCTGGAAAAACCAAAAAAAAAAATTGTTAAAAGTGTTCGAAAATACAAAGTTGAGCTAAGTTCAAAAGTTCGACTATTAAAAACTAAACAAATGCTATAAGTTCAGAACTTATTAACTGAACATGTGAACTATATTTGACACTAGAAAATTGAATAATTAGAACTTGTTTGGTTTTAGAGAGTCGAACATAAATACATTGTTTAAATTTGGGTATCCAAACGAATATAAAACGGTTTACTACTCAGCAAGTACATGAAAACGAAAAAAAAATGAAAAACTAAGCTTGCTTGTTTTCATTTTTCAGAAAAAATACTTTTCAAAAAATTATACTTTCTTATTTTCCGTATTTTTTTATTTTTACTGAATTTTTTAAATATTTTTAGCAATTTTTTTACTTTTTAGACACACCTAACATAAATACACCTAAAAAGTAAAAAAAATTGTAAAAAAAATCTTTTAAAAATTCACTAAATACCAAAAATACAACAATTCAGTACATTTTTTGTATTTTTATATATTTATTAATTTTTAAAAATATTTTTTCACAATTTTTTTACTTTTTAGATACATCTAGCTAAGGTACATCTAAAAATGTAAAAAAAAATGTTTAAAATTTAAAAAATATTCACTAAAAATAAAAGAATAAGAAAACTAAAAAATTCAATTTTCAAAAAACTTAATCCAGAAAACTCAAACCAAACACACTGAATCTTTTCATTGCTCCATTGTTCCAAACCAATATTGTCAGATGCATCCATCATTAGTCCAATCAAAATCTTCAATAATACGTATATTTTTTATTGTTTCTTTAAGGGTTTTTGATTTTTGTTTTTGGGTTCTTGAGGGAGAAAATATGTAAGTAACGTTTCAAAAGAGAGGTGTGTATTTTATTTATCATTGTCCTTTATGGTAATTTTACATAAGGTGTATATCATAGCGCTTTATCCTTTGTGGTCGTTTTACATTAGGTTAATATTATAATAAAAAATAAACTAATTAATAGTATACCTTGAAATAAAAAGTGGTATGTAAACAGAAGTACCCCTTCTAATTTATTCTAGTGAAACAAACAAAATATTAGAGAACAAGAAAGTGCCAAAATCACGAGCTTAACAACTCTTTTAGGTAATGTTTAGTTCAATAGAGAAAAAAGTAAAATAAAACAATTATTTCATTACATTGCCCATGTTTAATTGATTAAAAAAAATAATAATAAATATATCATAAATGAAATCGTCATGAAAAAAGGTTGAGACTCCATTTTTTCTTTACTTACGCCACTCCCAATATATTGGGATTGGTTAACTTTTTATTTTTTGTTTTTTTTTTCTTCCTCCTATCACTCACTGATATGTGTCTGTGGGGATTGTGGGGGTTAAGAAAAATGGGGGTCTCTTCTGAATCGTCATTTATCATTGTAAGACAATGACGATTCTATAAAATTGTGTTTGAATAATAGATTTTGAACAAGGATTTTTCATTCTAAATCTCTACCCAAATCATTGATCCAAACACAAAATAAGGCCCCGTTTGTTTTCAAATATAGAATGGAAGGGATTAATAGCGAGGGAAATGATAGTGAGGGGATTAAGTAAAATTGTGTTTATTTTGATGATAGTTGTTAGTGTGGGGATTGTTAAATTATTTTTATATGAAATAAATATAAAATAATAAAACAAATAAAAAAAATACAAAAACATTAAACATTATTAAACATTAAACATTAAACATTAATGTTAAAAAAAAGCCCAACATGTAAAAAATAAAAAATAAAAAATTTATAGAAAAAATAAAATAATGATTTTTACTTAACAAAAAATACAAAAAATTAAACATTAATTTTCAAAAAAAAAAAAAATCCTAACGTGTAAAAAATAAAAAAAATAGTCCAACGGACTAATTTCTAATACTAAGTCCCACAGGCCTATCTTAATCCCCTTTATTCGTAGTCCGGAGGAGATTACGAATTCCCTCTCCATCTCTCAAAACAAATATGATATTAGTGGATCTCACCTTACTAGAAATCTCAATCTACTCCGTATAACCCAAAACAAACGGAACTTAAGAGTTATTTTGAGAAGTGTTAAAAAATTTGACTTTTTTCCTTATTACAAAAAAACGTATAAAAAGTAGAGAAATAATGTGACCAAAATAAGTCAATAAGCTAACTTTTTTTGACAATCCCCAAAAAGGCTTAAGGAACTTAAAAGATAATCATTCAATTCCATTTCACTCAACCAAATACAACATTAGATTAATGTATTGCCCTTGAGATCTCTTTAAAGCTTAAACTTACTAATTATTTTACATATATATGTATATATAATTAAAACTAATACGATAAAACTCTCAAACCTCTTATAAGAAATAATTCAGTGCGTGAAATTTTGTATTAGATTTTGTGTGGGGAGTAATTCAATTTGTGTGGGGTGTCCTTTTAGAGGTCACCCCCTCACCCCTTTTGTCATGTGGCGGGTGGTGATTGGAGGAGGAGGAAAAAAAAGAAAAAGAAAAAGAAAATGTAACCAATGAGAGAGAGAGAGGGGGTCAAAGAGGGTGGGGGGAAAAGGGGGATGAATCATTGTTAAATTCAATAGAATAATGCTTGAGACCCCCTTTTAGAGGTCACCCCATCACCCCCTTTGTCATGTGGCGGGTGGTGATTATTGGAGGAGCAGGAAAAAAAAGAAAAAGAAAAAGAAAATGTAACCAATGAGAGAGAGAGGGGGTCAAAGGGGGTGGGGGGAAAAGGGAGATGAATCATTGTTGAATTCAATAGAATAATGTTTAGGACCCCCTTTTAGAGGTCACCCCTCACCCCCTTTGTCATGTGGCGAGTGGTGATTGGAGGAGCAAGAAAAAAAAGAAAAAGAAAAAGAAAATGGAACCAATGAGAGAGAGAGGAGGTCAAAGGGGGTGGGGGGAAAAGGGGGATGAATCATTGTTGAATTCAATAATTGTGATTTGTTTTCTACAAAATTGAGCACCGTTAACATTGCTTACATAGGGTGTTTGATTGGATGATACTTTGATACAATCCCGAGCACTATTAACACTGTCCAATTAGAGCATTTAACCAAAGGACAATCTGATACAAGTTGAAAGAGAATGGGAGTAGAGAAATGGCTTGAAACGGGTGATTGTGTACTTGACCCTTTAGTGTTGGACTTTATATAGTTATGGGTATCTTCTTCCAATAAGAATATAACTTGTGGGAGGTAAATTTCGAGTTACAACACCATATAACGGTCGAACTCTACTATTGATCCGACAGTTAAACGCTACTGTAGGTTAAGGGGCCAAGCACAAGGTGAACCAGGTCAAGGAAAGTCCACTTCACATATGAACATGCATATTTATTCTTTGGGCATTGCAAATATGGGACACAATCCCATATATAGCGGAACAGTAGGGAGAGTGCTAAAGATTTGTCAACCAACAGTAATGGTCAATAGGGCAAACTTGCATACACTCAAGCGTAGTAATCTAGGTACACAGTGGTGTTTTGAGAAGTTGATAAAAAGTTAATTTTTTGACTTTTTGATTTTTTGACTTTTTTGACAAAAAGCTAGATTGTTTTAGATAAAAAAACTAACTTTTTTGACTAAAAAAACCAAAAAGTTAGCTTTTTACCGATCTTTCTAAGAATCCGGATCACCCGTCGCCTTCCCCTGTCGCCCTTTCCTGTCGCCCCCAAAACGACGTCGTTTTGGGGGCAATTTTCAGAAAAAAAAACGCATAGAAGAGGGAGGAAGGAGAGGAAGAGGGAGAGGGAGAGGGAGGGTAGGGAGGAGGAGGAGGCTGCGAGTCGTCCCTCGCCGCCGTCGCAGCTCGTCCCTCGCTGCCGTCGCAGCCGCCGTCGCTGCCGTCGCAGTAGCTCCACCTCGTCGCAGCCGCCGTCGCTGCCGTCGCTGCCTCCGCCTCCGACCCGTCTCCACCTCCTCCTCCTCCTCTGTATTTATGGCCCCCTCCAGTCCGGCCCTTCCCCTCCTCCTCCTCCTCCTCCTCCTCCTCCTCCCTCCCTCCGCCTCCGACCCGTCTCCACCTCCTCCTCCTCCTCCCCTGTATTTATGGCCCCCTCCAGTCCGGCCGGCCCTCCTCCTCCTCCTCCCTCCCTTTTCCTCTCCTTCCTCCCTCTTCTGCGTTTTTTTTTTTTTGAGCACTACCCTGTCTTTCTGAAAATTCGCCCCCAAAACGACGTCGTTTTGGGGGCGACAGGAAAGGGCGACAGGGTAGTGCTACCGACGATCCGTTTCCATCTTTCTAAAGTGCCCCACAATCGACCACATACTCATACACTGTTTTATTGGGGATTCTTAAAGCATTTTCTGACTTAAACATAGAAAAGTCCCCCAATTGACCATTCTAGTCAGGGTTCTTCCCTCTTGTTATTTTCACGTGATTGAAGTAGTGCGTTTATATTTTTCGGTAACAATAAATCAAGTGTGGTAAGTTTTTCTCCACGCAAGTTTTTATCTTAAGAAAAAATCAAAGGATACTCTAATGCAAACTCGAGCACTACTAGCATTGTTCAATTGAAGTGCTCGGCCACAGAACAATCTGATACAAGTCAGAAGAAAATGAAGTAGAGTAATGGCTTCAATACGAGTAATTATGTACTTGACATTTAGGTGTTAAGACTTATATGGTGATGAGTATCCTTTTCCAATAGGCATAGGACTGCTTGTTTTGGATATAATTTATTTTTTAACTTTTTTATTAATTATGAAAAGACGTATAGAAAAAAGTAAAAATATGATTTGATCCAATTAAGTTAATAAGTTTTTTTAGTTTACTCCAAACCAAATCTTATAATTCCTCTACTTCTTTTTTCTTTTTCTTTTTTGAGAACCACAAAACAGCCATATATATTATACATGGAAATTGTTTACACCTCTAAACAGTCATAATATTATTTTTGGGAATAACAACACGTGGCCAAGGTGGCACTGAAGTGCCAGCTGAGGTGTCACGTGTCCTGGTCATGACGCTGAGATGATCTCGGTTAGGCTGAAATTATCTGCGAAGATACCGAAATCCGAGATGAACAGATAAGGGAGAATCTCAGTTTGGATAATGATAAAAGCTCTTAGGAGGTTTTCTTTATCTATTGGAGAGTCCATGATGAGCATTGAGTTAGAATCTATTGAAGCTTGGCTTCTACGAGGATTAGGTCAGTGCTGGCTATAAAAGTAAGACACCCTCGTGGGTGGTACGTTTTTTTGTATTCTGACCAAGAGAGTTAATTACTATTTGCTATCTTTGAGAGATAATTGAGTATTGACTTAATCATCGAAGTGCCCTTGGGTTGAAGAACCACCGCCTGAGTCTCATCTTCTGTGACAGGTCATTCGGGCGCAATCTATTTTATCGGTGTTCTCCAACTGAGTACCTATTTGACGGTGTGATCAGAAAACAGCACATACACTTCAAAAATAGTGAGCAAAGCCCAATCTGTCAACATAACCCCTCGCAGCATGTCCACCAAGACCTGACTATCAGTGAATATAGAAATGGGAGTCAGTTCTTCTTTCGTGGCCCACTGAATTACTTCATAGCATGTTCGTGCTTTATCTATAATAGGAGTGTCCAAGTATATACTTGAATGGCTTGTTGGTGGATTTGATTTTGGTTTTCATCAAAGCATACCCATACACATCCAGCTTGCTTGGTACCTCGCCTCCACGACCCATCAACCACCAAATTCCAAATCTTAAAATCTGAACCAGCAGCAAGTGAGTTAACCATGATGCAACAATTTTCGGAACTTGGCTTATGTTCCTGGAAAGCATCATCAAGGTTGAAAATATGTATCTGAATTATTGGCAAACACATGTAGGAGAGCACTATTTCCTAGTTGGTCTAAATTTCATTATTAGGTCAAGCAAAGTTTCATTATTAGATAGTGGATTATTTTAGGAAGATGGTTATAATTAGTTTTTAAGTTGGTTAAAACCAGCTTTTTGTGAAAGAAGAACGTAGATTATAATCTGAAAAGTGAATTATAAACCACATCTCAAAAGACCCAGTATTTTTCTTAAGAAAAAACTTAAAATTCTTGTAGTTTCATGAACCTATTCTTTTACTTTTTAAGACCTTTTAAATTCTCGACAATGGAGGCAGGAGTTGGTCTATGTTTAGTTCCATTATTACGTCAAGCAAAATTTCATTATTGGATAATAAATAAAAAAAAAACTAATTGGATCATAGATAGACACGAATAGAAATTTAAAAAGAAATATGAAAATGTGAAATATAAGTTATTTTTTTCTCATTCTAAATCTCTACCTAAATTTATAACCTAAACATATCATTAATCACCTCAAAAGGATTAGTTTAATGGTCAATTACTTAGACCTTAGTGCCTCGTGAAGTATCAGGTTCAAGGAAATTAATGTTCAATCCTCATAAAATGTTATAAATTCTTTTGGAACCACGCTTTCAAACATTACTTGAGATTTACCCCACTCACGTAAAAAAACAGGTGCTTTGCTAAATTTCAGGATTAGTCGGAACCTATTAGCCTTCTCAATTATAAAAAATAAAATTAAATAAATAAAATTCTCATAATGCATAGGTGGGTTTATCAAAATAAGCGATAGAAATGTTCCACATTTTGTCCATAATCTTAAAATGTGGACCTTTTTTTTTTTTTTTTAAGAGAAACATGGACTCTTTTAATTGTGTCATATAAGATGATTTTGGCGACAAGTTAAAAAAGTTATTTTTTTAATTTTTTAGTTAAAAAAATCAACTTTTTTATTCAAAAGAATCCAATTTTTTGCCAAAAAAAATTAAAAAAATCAAAAAATTAAAAAATTAATTTTTAACTAACTTCCCAAAACATTCCATAATCACTAACCGAGCTGTAGACAGATCCATGCCAAGTTCCCCCAGATTTCAATCCAAGAATGTCATTTGGTTTGGCCAAAATCCATATTATTTTATTATTATTTTTATTATTTTGTCATATCTTGCGATTTTCCTCCATTATTTATACACATAAAAAGAGTAAAAAAAAAAAAAAATACATAAAACATCCAACAAATTTCACAATATATATCCAAAGCTAGAACCAATAATGAATATTAAGATTGTCTTTATTCATAATTTTGAATAATAATCTAAAAACACAAAAAAAAAGAAAAGATAAGAATTTTTTTTTTACGTATATTTTATTTACATCTCAATATATAAATTTTTTCCCCTCACTTAACAAATCTCTATCTAAATTCATAATTTAAATACAACTTAATAAAAAGAAAACCAAAGAAAGATAAAAAAAAAAAAAAGAAGTAAAAAAAAAAGCTGAACTCATCATTTGACATTTGTGTATATGTTGATCCAAATATCTAAGAAAGTCACGCACAGATACAATCGCAAGATATGTCCCAAACCATGATTTCCTGGAGAAAAAACAAAATAAAAATCCTTTCCATTTCTCTCTATGCAAGGGAAAAAAACCAACAACCCACCAATCAAACCAACCAACAAGTGATTTAGTTTCATTCCAAAATAAACTCCTAAAATAGAGAAAAAAAAATGAAGGAAAAAAAAGTTAAGGCCACAATTTTCTTCACCTTTGGAAATTCCTTGCAGACGAGGCAATCTGACTCTCTCCATATATATCGTCCGGTTGTGACAATTTTACGGTTGGTACAGTTACACTTCCCTCTGAGACGGACTCCTCCAAAACCCGGCACCATAAAACCGGTTACTCATCTCCATGTCGAAATCGACGGCGACGGTGGGATCCTTGCAGGAAACCTCCTGAGCGTCCGATTGAAATCGATGGCGGTCCCAATCATCATCATCGAATCCAGGAGTGTGCACAATCTTATTGGGCTGTGTAAACATAGCATTCTTTTGCTTGATCAGCCTCTCTCTCTCCTTCTTCTTCTTCTTCTTCAAAGCTTTTCGACACAAACCAATGGGAACCTTATACACAGCCAAAACCACCAGATTCATGACCGTGCAAGGGCAGCAGCAGCACACCGCCGCCAAGTCCGCCGTGGTCCGCCCCGCCACCTCCCCTACTCGGTGGTCCTTCTTCTTCCCCAAAAACGACAGTCTCCGGTTCACCGGCGGCGACCGCAGCAGCTGAGCGGTCATTATGATTTTAAGAGAGAGGGGAGGAGAGAGATACAGAGATATAGAGAGAGGGGATGGTTGGACTCCGCATAAAAAGGCGGAGTTTTGGAAGAGTGGGTTTCCTGCCGGTCAAAACGAAGTCTATAAATACAACTATATAATAATGCAATAATAAAAGGTGATTCGAAAAATTATGACTCGAAACATTTAAAAGGATGTCATTTTAGATGTAAAATTATATTATTTTGACATATTTAAGCCATAAAAATTCAGGTCATCAAATATTTTTTATAATAATACGATGGTATTATATGTATTAATTAGCGTATATATTAATTTGTCAATTAGTATTATAATATCATTAAGAAAAATGTTAGAGGTCTCAAATTTTTTATCAAATAAATAACCAAATGTCTCACATGGGTGTGGGCCCCACAAAAATGTGGACCCCACACCCATGTGAGACATTTGATTATTTGTTTGGTAGAAAATTTGGTACCCCTAGCATTACCCTATCATTAATGACCCTATTTATTATACAAATTATAAACGAATAAAATCTCTAAAATTGTGTCATATCACTAGTTGGTACATTAATATATACACTAATTAGTATATATAGCATTATTTATAATAATAATATCTACATATGTGCTTTTGTACTGTACTCATCTGTCTGAATATGAAATGAGAAGGATTGTCGACCATATATGCATTACAAAAAATCTTCTTTTTGTTTTTTTTGTTTTGGGCAAAACATTACAAAAATTCTAAACACTAACATGAGAGTGTGAGTTATACAGCCATGTGTGTAGTGTTTTAGTAAAAAAAATTTAAGAATATTTTATATCCTTAATATTATTTATTGGGTTATGTTTCTAAATATTGTAATTAATTTTCTATATTATAATAATTAAAAATAATGTTATAATTAATATTATAATAAATCATAATTAATATTACAATGTGTATAATTAAATCATAACTAATATTCTAATATATCACATATTGTAATCAGGAATATGATACATTCTCTATGAGAAAGTGTATCATAAAATTTATGCACTTTTGTTACGTTCGTTATGAGTTCTTGTGATGCCTATTATGATTAATTGTGATGTTGGTTATGATATTGTTTTAGTTATAATTTAAGAATTTTTTTATTATAATTTATATGATGTTTGATTATAACTTCTTCTTTTCTTAGTTAGGACTCTCATAGTATTGAGTTATAACATTTATAATAACGTCATAACTTATGTATGGTACACAATGATGGAGTCAAGATTTTGACTCGTAAGGGATATATTGTTGGATTGAAATCTTAATAAAAATTAAAGTAAATTACAAAAACATCCATTGAGATTTATTTAGATTACAAATTATCCACTGGTTTTAGAAATTATATCATGCCCCTTAAAGTTTCTAATTTCATAACAAATTGTTCATTTTGTTAATAAATCATCAAGTTAATTAACAGTTTTTAATAATGTTAAAATTTTATTTCAATTAATAATTTAAGTAATTTTATTATTGAATAGGTGAACAGTTAGAAATTTTACTTTTTAAATTAATTCTATTAAATAAAAAATTCTGAGTATTTGTAATTTTTCAAATTATAAGGGACAATTTATATTTTAAGTAAATCTTAGAGAGGGTATTTATAATTTATCATAAAAATTATAATACAACTTAATTTAATTTTTATTTGATGATAAAACTAAAAATTAATATGATTGAAAAACGGATATTTAAATATAAGAAAATGAGTTGAACCCTCTCAAGAAGACATCCCCTTTGACTTTTTCTCTATTTTTAATTGGCCAATTTTATTTTATTTTATTTATTTATTTATTTTTTCTTCTCATTCAATCACCATCTGCGACATATATATAAAATAGTAGGAGTAATGATAGGAGGGAACTCAATCACTTCCCGCATATATAAACTCCAGGTAACTCATCATTACCTTTTGTTGTTATTAATTTGATTTGATATACGGTGATTGTATAGTTGAAGAAAAAGGAGCGCGGTAAGTGGGTGGGCAAACGTGTCAACCACAACACACAAATCTCTCTTGTCTATGGCTGAAAGATACTTTTGTCCATACCAAATATTTACAAAAAGATAATATTTAATTATAAATATATTTGTTTTTAACAAATGATCATATTTTGTTAATAAATCATCAAATCAGTTCACTAGTTTTAATAATATCATAAATATATTTCAATTAATAATTTAAGTAATTTTATTATTATATTAAGAAAAATAATTAGAAATTTTATTTTTTTTATTAATTCTGTTAAATAGATTTTTTATTTTTTTGACAATGATATATTTATAATTTTTAAAATTAAAAAAGATAATCTGTATTTTAAACAAATTTCATGAAATATATTTATAATTTACCTTATAAAATAAGTAAATTATAATAAATTCTCTTAACAAATGGCTAAATTATACCTAATCGCTACGTTATTAAAAAAAAAAGGAAAAGAAATAAACTTATCTTCCATTCAACAAATGGATAAGTGCATAAGAATTGCCACTTTCACACATAATTTTCCAAGTACATTTACCAAAAATTAATAATTTTAATAACAAAATTATAAAATTCAGTGTTTGAACTTATAACTCAATAAATTCTAAATTTTTAATTTTATCAATTTAAATTTCATTTTTTGTTTTATTTTAATATAAATTATTTATTTATTTTTGTTAAGTAAAATTAATTAAAAAAAAGAGTGTTTTAACTATTAAACTCAATGAAATATATATACACCTATATTGAGTTTAAAGGCAAAAAATACCGTTTCTTAGTAGATTTTACTTAAGGCAAAATAGACATCTGATTTCAATTGAACACAAATTAAAAAAATTAAGATTTAAATTGACAAAATTAAAAATACGTAATTTATTTTATTACGGTAGCGTTTGGTAATATTTACGTTTTTGGTTTATGTTTACAAAAATTTTATAAACTGGCTTTTGTTTATTTTTAGAAAAACATAAATTACAAATATGTTTGGTTTGAACAAAATGTTTGAAAAATTTTAAAAACATAAATTAAAAAATATGTTTGTTCAGGCCTAAAATATTTAAATTTATTTTTTATTATTTATGACAATGGCATCATACACATTATAATTGAAAAAAAAATTAATTAAAAAATTTAATTGGGAAAAAAATTAATTGAAAAAAATACTGTGAAAAAAAAATAATTGCAAAAAAAATATTTGAAAAAAAATTAATTGAAAAAAAATTATGAAAAAAAAATTTATTTGAAAAAAAAAATTATTAGTCAAATTTTGAAATATCTATTTAAAAACCAAAGTAAACTCATTTTTTGAGTTTATATTTTTTCCTCAAATTTATAAACTGAGATAACCATTTATAAACAAAAAAATTATCAAATAAGTTTTTATGATAGTTTTTTTAATTTTTGTAAATATAAACTGAAAATTAAAAACGAAATAGTTACCAAACGAGCCTTACAAAAGTTATACTTAATTTTTCTTTTTTATATAATTACCCCAAATTTTTATACATCTTGCATTTCTCATTTGCCACTCTGTTTCCACCTCACCATTCTTATCAATCCACAACATCCCACCAAGCCTTGTCCTCTCATTTTTTTGAATCAACCTATCCCATATTTTTTCTTTCGGAACAACACTGTTTCCTCTTTTCATCCATTGTCTATCATCTTAGCCCCCCGAATGACGAGAAGAAGAAGAGGAGGAAATGAGGCGTCAGGAGTTGGAAGGATGAAAGTAGCTAGGTGGTGATCAAAGGTGGAAAGGTGGACGGTTACTGCAATAGTATCTGTGTGGGTAATTTTCTGATCACACTGCCAGCCTAGTAATCAGTTGGAAAAGCACTGGCAGAATAGATAGCCTCTAGCTAACCTGCAACAGAAAGAAAAGGCTCCGGCGGTGGCTCCTCCACCCGGGGGCACTCCGACGATCAAGTCAGTATATCTCTCAAAGATAATCAAGTGCTAAACTCACAAGCTTGAGTATAAAACTGCGTACCTTAGACCCACGGGGGTGCCTTTCTTTTATAATTTACTAAATCCAAGTCTAATTAGAAGTCTGACTTCTATGGACTCCAATTCAATACTGACTTGGACTCTTCAAGAGATAAAGATAAAACTCCTTAAGAGTAGGAGTTTTATTCTTATCTTGGCTAAGTCTTCTCTTTACTCTAAGACTCTTATCCCCTATCCGCTTATCTCGGATTCCGATATCTTTGGAGATCACCTCGGCCTTGCCTAGGTAACCTCGGCATAACTACTAGGACACGTGACACGTCGGCATCACCATGCCACGTGTTGGTATTCAAAAAATACATCTCCACAACTGCCCCCTAGGTTCTATTACCTCGGCATTCTGAGGTGATGGAACCTATATCTGTATTTTCTTCTAGTACCTAGGCGTGAGAACTCTTTGGCCGAGATCATTCATTTTAGGCCGACGTGTTATCTTCGGAGAACAAGAATTCAAATGAATCCCTTCATGCGTATGAGCTGTCATACATCAATTTTCAACTGTTTTACTCACGCGTTATATCCTTATTGGCCCGTGTCCGTGACGCGCCTGTAAGCCGTCTTTCCTCCGTCTGCGCCGTCTGACGCACGCGTTCCTCCAGGTGCAATAAATGCCCTGTTTTGCCGCCGTTTCAAGTTTTTGATAAAACCTTTCTTCTTGTCTTCTCTCCTTTACTTTATGCATTCGAATTTCTGGCTCTCTCTCTCTCTAAACTTTCTCAAATCCACCATTGTTCTAACTCCAAGCTCTACAACCGTCTTCATTCCTCCATTTCAGCGAAGCGTTCGCCGCTCTGTTGTGTCTGCAATCGTTGCCCTACCTCGGCGACTTTCATTCCGGCTCCATTTGTTCTGGTAAGATTTTGTTCCTCTTATTCCCAATTTCTTTTATGTGCTTCCGTTTACTTACTGCCATTATTGTGCTGTTCAAACCTTTGATTTGTTGAACTATTCATCTGGATGCGTCTTTTTCATGATTTTACTCATGTCTTGAACACTTTGTACTATTTAATACTTTTCTTGCCACTGTTCTTGACCTTTTACTTCTGTATTTCTGTCGCTTTTAAGAACCATACCTCTGTTCTTTGTTTCTAAA